GAGGCGCCAGTTAGACTAATAAAAATGTACTAAAACCTCAACAATAATTAAGGTTTAAGTCGCCATGACTACAAAATTGTAAAAATTTCTCCCCTCTCCCCTCTTTCTACGCCCTACATTTTGTAATTTATTCTTTTCTTTTTTATTATTATTTAGAGTAGACATATAAAATAATATTTATTTATTTATTTAATATAAAAATATATTGTATAAAATATTGAAAAATATTTTATATGTAACATTGTCTATTAATATAAGATAATGATATATAAATAAATTATTTATGTAATAACTTTTATTAATAATTTTTGTGTATTATTAAAAACAAAATATATAATATTATAAATTTTTATATAAAAAATTACTATTCTTTTTACCTATAAATAACTATCATTTTTCTAAAATTAAAGATTTGAGAACAATTTAAGTATTCATTCTTATTATCATTAAGAAAAAATTAAAAGATAAAATTAAACTTTTATGATAAAATAATTAATCAAAATAAATAAATAGTATTATTATTAAATTAAAAAATATTTATCTATTTTAAAAATAATTTAATTTAAAATAAATATAATTATTTTAAAATAAAAAGAATAAATAACATAAAAATGTATAAAAAAAAATTACACATAAAAGTATTCATAAATCTTGTTCCGTGTATATATAGCATCCATCGCTAAAAAGCAAAGCGACCTATGTCGGATTAGAAGATCCAAGTAATTTCATTTTGCGGCTTCTCTTGTTGTTATTTTGCTTAGATCCGTATTGGAAAAAAAATGGCGACAAAATAAAAGGGGGTTTGAACTTGAAGATTCCCTTCCCCCGTCGTATTGGCCCCATTTTATTCCTGATCGAGTTCTGCCAATTATTTACGTGATAATGTCCGTATTTAATCACATGCTTTGCTTTTCTTCGATGCTTCCTTTTTGTTTATTTTTCTACTACCTTTCTTCTTTTTCTTGTATTTTTGTTATTTAAAACGTTACCTAACCATACGTAGAGTGAATTTTTTTGGCTAACAACAATTGTGAGGTATGATTGTAAATTGATTATACAAAAAAATATCCCCTCTTTCTTGTCTTTTTAATCATCACATTTCTATACTCCACTTGAATTTAAAATCATCTTGCTTC